CCCACGCGTGGGATGGACAACTGAGACTTCCCCAAGTGCTCTTTAGTTCTCCTTGGATATTCCAACAGATTGTATCGCTTTGGGGTGTTTAGTGGTGATCAAGAACACCCCCGCTTTGGTGACAACAATTCGTTTCAAATATCATTGATGCACAGCTGCAACACCAAAAAACCGTGGCATGCCATCCGATGTGACACTGCAAGCGGGGCGAGGGACGAGCGACACTGGTCTCCTACATACTAGCAGATGACACCGCAGGATGCGGAGTTGTGAGCTACCTTGCTGGGCAAGATTCCCAGTTTGGGAGGTGACAGAAGTCGCAGAAGGTGATAAAATACGCAGAAAGGGTCTTTGTGTTGAGAAGCAGCGGGGCAGCGAGGACTCAAATGTCTTGGCATCAAGCTAAGGTCTCCAGCGGAACAGCTCAGAGGTCGCGTGGTGCGGCAGGAAAATGGATAGCGACAGATTGCTTTTGCATGATGGTGAAAATGCAATTATTGCAAAAATCAGTAATTTGTAACAGGTCAAATGGTCGCATTCCTTACATCAGTGAGCGAGTCCGTATTCAGCCGTGTTCGTATTTTATAACCCTGCCATTCTTCACCCCCCCAAGTGCACTAACATGCCTTTGTGCTGTACGTTCTTGAGAAATACGTTGTGACAGTTTTGACATGAATTCCAGCGCCTCGTTCGCTTACAGAGAATCTGGCTTGCAACTTGCCTGCCTAGTCGCGGTGCGCGATATCGAATTTTGACATTGGTTTTTGAATTCAGTCCTTTCCACCATCGTTGGACCTGCAGATTGGATTTTGTCGTGTCAAACCCGTTCCTTTCTGTTGTGAAATGTTACGGTGCGATCAAAAAGTGAACGCCGCATCTTTGGTACTACAATGGCACGTCCCCTCACACAATTGCCAGTTTATCCACAGTCAGGAAGAGACGCATCGTGACCACCTCAAAATCTCTCTAAACGCGCCCTTTTGCTGTGTGAGGGCGCCCAGGTTCTCGGCAAGTTGATGTTCACATACTTTGATGAACCCAACAGAAGAACATTCCATTCTGGTATACCGGCAAAGTATTGTGATGGTAGTTCGTCAATCATTGAAACCAGTGTATGGGGTCGACACAGCTGCAGCCATCCGGATAAGGCACCAGCAATTTGCTGCTAGAAAGATAAAGATGCACCTCATCATGTGAATACTGAAATTTTCAGGAAGTTTCACTGTAATTTGTGACTACAGGACCTAAAGCCGGACTCTACACCCGCAGATGTGGTCTGGAAAGGTGCAGATGTGGCCTGGCACGTGCCGACTGCACTAGCAAAAAAGAGACCAAACAACACTTTTCCAAACACACCTAAAGCACATTTAACCAATTTTCTGCAAGCTAAGAACACAAAAATAACCCAAACCATTGAACTTTGTACACTTTTGAACACGTGTTATTTGGCCCTTTTTCCCCTAGTGCTGCGCACCTGCCGTAGGCGTTGACCGTGCGCTCGATGAAGCAGCAACGTTCTACACAATGGCGGATCCTAGGTTACCCGCCTTGGTTGGGTTTCTCTCCTGCAATGAACACTTATCATGCCGGCGGCCAAACAATCGATCAGAACACCAGGGATTGGAACCAAACAAGGAATGGTGCGAGGGGTGACCACCCGCGCCGATTGATGCCACACCCAAGGTCGCGACACAGAGGCGCCAAAGTGAAATGGGGGGCGGAGGCCCGCATCGCATCGATCCCGTCCTGCAGTTCAACGCCCCCTGGTCAGTATCAGCTGTACCCTCAATTTCCCCGGCGATGGGACAGGCCTGATACTGACAGCGGCTGCCCGTCAGATCGGGCGGCTCGGGGTCCTGCGCATCCGCCCCTTCAACTGAGCCCCCCGGCGCGGTATTTCACCACAGGACCTTTGAGGCGCCGCAGCGGGAAGCAAGAGGGCCAGTAGGTATTCTCGGCCGAGTCCTGCAGGGAGAGGAACCATGGGGAAGACCTGGATTGCGTGCGCCGTGGTGTGCCTGCTCGTCGCCGCTGGCGTTCGCGCGGCGGAGGAACCCGGTGCGTTGGCCACCGAAGCGCGAGCGCCCAGGACCGGCCTGCTTTCATGTTGCAGACGCCTTTGCGCGACCTTGTCAGTAGCCCTCGCTGAAAAGGAAAACTTGTCCATGGAGATAGCGCCAGGCGGGCTGGCGGATTGTAGAACGATTGCATGCAAGTCTGTGGGCCATGCCATGCGCGATGTCTTGGCGATCGATCCATGCACGCCAGATTCAGAGGCCAAATTCTCGGACGGGGAGGGCGGACGAGGCGCAGACATGGCAGAAGCGCGGCGATCGCCGCGGTCCGCAGCACCGGGACTACCCGATGCGTTGGGCGCGAGGCGCGAGAGCCGTCAAGGCTCGCATTGCAATGGCCTCGTGGTGCCTGCCCCGCCGTTCGCAGATCCGCGTGCAGCTGCGGAGTCATAACCAATTGTTCTCCTTGGGTGAAGCGAGCGCGCACCTCTCTTCGGTTTGAACCGCTATTCCCCTCTCGCCCATCACGACAGGAGCCTCCCTGTTGCCGGTGCGCAGCGCTGTGTGCCATCCATCCTGCGGGATGCCCTGTTTGCCAACTGATGCACTGCCCTGTGCTGTGCGTGCTACTGCTCGAACTGCGTGCCTCACACGGTTTTCTGACGGATGGCTGCTCGGCTGTTTCAGAGTCAGGCTACATTGGGCTCGGTGGTGTTAACAGCAACCTCCCACCAGTGACGCCGCTGCTCGCCCTCCAGCCTCCCCCACCTGAGGGCCCCACCCCAACCATCCCAGCGCCGGTCAGTTCCCGAATCCGGCGGAATCAGAGCTGCATCACGCATGTGCACCCAGCTTCCGCACGCTCGCCTTTTGCTTGTCAATGAATCTGCTGCCCGTTCGTGGCCGGAATGTGCAGGAACCGTGTTTTGTCATGCTATGGCAAGAGCAATCGCGAGGATTGAATCCAGGGTTTGAGGCCTTCGCCATGTTGCTCTCGGATGCTTGCTGGTGCCTTGCTTTGTCACTTGCACGCCTCTGCGATGTGCAGACTGTGGACAGATATTTGGGACACACTGGCGCCCCATTCGCATGAGGTGGCATGGTATATTTTCTCATTTGCACTTGGTGCGCAGGAGGGTCTTCTGGACAGGCTCCATCAGTACAGGATTGACATCGGCGACTCTCTGGGCTTCACCGACCTGCGGGAGAAGTTCCAAGACCTGGTCGAGTCCTTCAAAGAGTGAAGCGCAGCGGCCAGCACGCCGGACAGGAGGATGCAAGCATGGGTCTTTTGTAGAGCCCAGCTCATGTTTGGCACACTTGGTGACACTGACCATCAATAGCTATTCCCGTGGTTGGCAGCCGAGGTGGCAGAAATAAGCATTAGACACGGGCTCTGTTTTTAGGATTCCAATGGGCCAAGGGCCCCCAACGGAGCGTGGCGGCTGATTGCATGCAGAAACAAAGGCTTTGCAATTTGGAGCTATGACGTTCTTGTTGTGAAGCTTGATGGCCATTCCTCACTGTCATTAATCAATCGCTCCGAGTTGTTGTTGGGTTTCGAGGTGGCTGTCCGTGCCACCAAACGCCGTGTAACTCAGTCGCGTTTTGTGGGAACTGCACACTGTCACTTGGAAGTAGAGATGCTCTGGCTCGCGCTGCGATTACCTTGCTGTGGAAATGACACGGTTCATGCAAGCAGGTGATGGTGAGCGCACAATGACGCTTCAGAACAATAAAAGTCTGGAAACCTTAGAATACACTCGTGCGAGGATGACACCATACGCTTGGGGATTGGTAGCGTACAATGGCAATGGCATTGGAATCGCAGGATGGCCCATGGAAGCGATGGTGCAAAGTCTGATCAGTGGCCTGCATGAAAGCGCTACAAGCACGGTCGTGAGTGTGCACATTTACACCCAGGACACCTTCAGCAGTGTCAGTAAGATTTGAAGCAGTGCACGCAACAGTTTGCGCGCAAGGTGTCACTCTTTACAACATGACCAGATATTTGTGCAGAGGCTCACAAGGTCGCACAAAGTATTGCCTTCAACCTTTGCTAGAGATTCTTCTTGAATACTTCTGACTGCCGTGGCGGCTAGCTCGGATGGAGCATAAGTCAAGGCCCACGTGGGCACACACTATGTAGAACGAGATTCGTTCCACACCTGCCCAGACAGGCTCCGTCGTGGAATCCATGCGATGCGGTGTTACTCAATGTGCCCTGCTCTCCCACACTTTTACCAAATATTGACATAGCTTTATGTTGGCAACAGCTACGATGATTATGTTGCAGGGTGCTCTCCAGGTGCACTGGAGACTTTGTTTTGGTCCGAAAGAGTCGCCGTTGACACAGGTGTGGCCAGGTTGCAGTGTCTAACTTGATAACCCACCAAACACAATCCACGTTCTTACACCGCGGGTTTGCACGCATTTCTGTGACCTTTTGCATCTGGAACCACAGCGGTCAACCCAGCCACGAGTCACATGTGATCAATCTTTACGGCATGGAACAAGCACCTCGCCACGATATTTTCATTCAAGGAAAATGGCCTGTTAACATCTACATTGCGTATCCCGCGGCGTCGGTGTGGATGGGGAAGGCTGTCCGAAAGTGGTGGTCACATTTCACACCGAATTTCAGCCATCCTGGCACGCGGCCTTACGCACACTAGGACCACAGCATGCAACACACCATCACCCGGCCTGGAGGTGGCGATGCGGACCTCTCTCAGACAACAACCCACCCACCTCTTGTCCAGCGAGGACAGCGAGCAGGCCGCTGCCGCGGTGTCCGCCTGCGCAGCATCCTTATCGGAAGAACAGGGGTGCCATTGGCTCACGCAGCATTAGTTGAGCGCCCTAACGCGTATTGTGCCCACGTTGGGAGGGGCGGAGGCCAAGCGAGGATTGGATTATCTTGGGACAGGCTGTCCGGGGCGTGAAGGCGGTTGCCTTGGCTTGTCGGGCGGAGTTTTGGAGGAGATGGCTCGGATGGTGCAGTTCGGGGGATTGCAAGGAGAGACGCTCCCCCTCAACACGACCGGCGCGCCCTTTGGTGTTCGCGACAAGGGTGCGTTCTTGGGAAGAGGTGAGGCCCCCGGACCGGAACCAGATGTGCGGGGTGTGGCCGCGATTGGGACATCGGCGGGTCGAAATGCATCTTGCGTGCACTCTGACCGCGGTCAGTTGGCACCCCTGCCGGTTTTGGATCTGGATTACCGGGGCATGCGTCGCATGCTCTCCACCGCACATGGTGCACTGGGCCCCAACAAGTACCCAAGATTCCAGGTCAGCGCTGTCCTGAACAGTCCTGCCGTCAGCCCAGCATTTCTGTTGGCATCGTGCACTGTGCGACACAGGCGCAAGCTATGTTCGTCGTGGTGGGGGGTTGACCGAGAGTGCCACACGGCCCTGGGTGCTCCAGGATTGTGCTTTGTGGCTTGTCAGCGCAGACCAAATGGCAGTTTGCAGTTCTCGGTGGTGAATGCTTTTATTCGAGTTACCGTCGAAAGACAGTGCAGGGCCCTTTCACCTTGCAGGCGATGGTGGGTGTGTGTCCATCCAGAAACGTTTCCTGTCTATAATCCCTGCGGTTTGTCCGTTCGCGATCACCTGCCGCGCGTGCAGACGGTGGTCAAAGAATGGAAAGAGGTGAGATACAGGATACCTGTATCCACCACCGAAAGCTTCGTTGCGTTTGTCGAAACAGTGGGTCCATTCTGTCCACAATCCAAGCAGTACCTACAGTAGCTTGGCCTTGGCACTATATTGCACTAGTGGAGGAATTCCTGCCAGGGGAATTTGCAATTTTCACTGTGCAATGGAGGCTTGCATTGGGCTCACATTCTGTTGCCCCATCTTTTGGTGGCAGTTATCTGTTTACTATTCTCTCCCCTTCTGGCTTCCCTCACTGCTTTACAATACCTCAAGTCGGAGGGGCAACGGTGGCCTTACACACACCATGTGGCAGGCAATGCAGTCCAAAGGGCCTTTGTACAACCTGCAAGATTTGCACATCTTCCATTGTAATTTCTTGCACAGACTTTTCCTTCCGCAAGAAATGTGCGGTTGCCATGGCTGGCTATGTGCTGTCCCCCCTTCCAAGCGTGCTCAGACTTTATGTTGTGTGGATTTCAGTCCACCGATTTGTGGAATGGCCACTGGGATAATCACATTCATGGCTCTGGCTGGGCTGGGCACCACATTCCTTCCCCATATAGGGAATGCGATTCGTCATTCGTGGAACCTTGCCAGGAGTGTCTGGACTTTTGGGACCTGTGAGCCGGGGTGTTGACCGACACGCAGGGACAAAGTCATGCTGTTGGCCTGCCGTGCATTGTTGCCTTGTAGCTGGAAGCCTGGGCTACCGGGCATTCCCCAAACACTACAATGGAGGGACTGTTCCTCTTCCGTTTCCTCGTGGTCAGCCCTTGGTTGCTCAGTTGCGGTCCACGCTCCAACGATAATGCTGCTCTTCCGTTCGCGAAGTCACTCTTCTTGCCAGAGTCTGCTCAACACATAGAAGACACTATTGCGATGTGATTGCATTCACTGAAGGCTCGACGTTGGGCGACGCGATGTTCCTCCGCAAAACGATATTGTACATTGGATGTACCGATTGTGGGCGACGCCTCGCACTGCATTTACTTGCATGCCACCAACCGACGTCTTGCGGCAGCGGGACGTCGGTTGGGTGGGGCCCTGCTCCCTGCAGCCTAATGGCACCGTCCTTCGCGGGTCGCTTCCAGTGAGCAGAGCAGGGAAGGTGTGTGCCTGCTCGGAGAGCAACGGTGGCTGGGTTTGCCACATTGGGCTGTCTTTGTGATTTCTTTCACTGCCAAGCGTTTGGACAATGCTTGGTGAGACCAAGGGCCCTTGGAACCCTGGTGGTCTTGGGATGGGTGAGCATTGTGGAGAGAGGCCTCCTTGAATGGCAGCAGGCACGGCGACAGGTTGTCGCGTGAGTCTCCGCGTGACTGGCATGCGATTCCTCCATACGGTTACAGGCCGACGTACTTTCCGATGGCGTAGTTCGCCTCCACGTCGTGAGTTGACCTCTCTGGATGACATAGGAGACTCGCAACGGCCACTGGAACGGTGCTGAATTCGACCTGCGCACGCAATACCTACCATTGTAAAGTGTGAATGTGTCCCTGAAAGTCCTCACTTGGTCGTCTTTGCTTGAAGAAGGAGAGCACACTGAGTTTGATGCTGGGATTTTCAGTTCCGATTGGCTTTAGTCCAATTAGATACACTCCTTTGCATGAATTGCAGGAGTCCATCCATGTGTGGGTCTTTTGTGGGTGCGCCCGCTGAAGTGCCATTTTGAAGACTCACAGCTGGTGGGATCTATGAAATTGGATTGCTTGCAAGGATATACAGTATAGCCAACCGTCTGAGTGCCAAGCAAACTGATATCAAAATTGATCCAATCTTGCTGCTCGGTTTAACCAGCTTCACAGTGTACAGCCTCCTGTGCGGTGGTCTGCAGGGACAAAGCCTGAGGTTTGGTCCAACATCTGCAAGTTCACATGTGCCATCCAAATGGTTGGGGGCGTGTTCCTCGGGTTGCTGTCATCAGTATATTTGTTTGATTACATGATGACTACTGGAATGGTGAGTGGCAGCGATTCAAATGTGTCCCAACAGATTCTTCCTCTTTGGGATCGTTTGCGCAGTTCTCAACTTCAGCATTCACCATCCTGTACCCCAGCGTGACAGAGCTGGATTGCCTACTGTAGCCACGAATTCATGCTCCTCATGCTTTCCAGATTCTGCCCTGTTTTTGACCTCGTTTTCAGTCATTTTGGAAGTGTTGATGTCCACATGGTTGCTCCTGTTTTCAACTTCTGAGTGTTTGGCTACTGGGTTTCACACAGACAGCAGCACGTGCTGCCTTAGTGCATGCAGCTCAGACACAGTTGCGTTCTGGGTTTCCTATGATTTTTGCCCCTGTCGGGTCTTTTCAAGTTATGGTTTCGCAGATTTTGGTGTGCTGCCTTGCTGCAAGGAGTAGGTGGTGGCCTTTTACACGAGCGATGTCTTGTGAGCAAACGATGAACCTGTCATATGGCAAATGGCCTCCAAATCAACTCCTTTTGAGTCTGTTTCCATGTGCAACTTGAGAGCTGTAGTCAACAACAGCCTGGACCGAGGATTTTTGGAACTCTTGGTTGCGTTGTTTGCTATGCTGCTGATGGCATCTTTTTGTTTTGGATTGTTGCAGATCATTGGAGCGCTTCTGTTTGTTATTGGAGCCATTGGTTTCCTTGGATCGATGAAGATGAACAAGGACTTTCTGAACTTCCACATCGTTGGAGCAATCCTCACCATTATGCTTTCCTTTCAATTTACTGGACAGGTATGAAAACTGGTCATGGTACCATAGCATTGCAGTAGGATGGCTGCACTGTTCAGAATGAGTAAATGTAGCAATGTTATCCTATACTTTTTACAAGAATGCAGATCAACACAGTGTTGTGGACACATTCACCGATGCTCTGGATTTGCCACTGCATGTATGCACTGTGAAAGACAACCATCAGTATCTTCAAAAGGCCTCGATGTAAAAGTGCCACGTGATCATGGAAACCTGCAGGCAGTGTTGCTGATGTGTTGTGTTGAGGCCTTGCCTGCTCCACTGCAGTCACCATGTGTTCTGTTGTTAGGGGAGGAACTGCGCTGTTTCTTGCAAGATGTTGCGATGTCCAAAAAGAACTGTTGTGGTCTTCTGGGGGCTGAAATGTGGCCATCTGTGGCCATCTATGCCTTAACAGGTGTGGAGGGAGGTGGAAGTGGACTGTGCATTGGCAGAGCTGTACCTCAAGAGCAATGCAGTAGAAGAAATCACAAGGAAAACAGCACAGAATGAGATGTTTGACACCATTTACAACCGGATCAACCAGGTGGATTCTAGTTTTGTGCCAATGGATTGGTGCTGCAGCTGTGAAAAGGACTGCAGCGCATTGTTCCTCTTTAGCCACTTGCTATGCCAAAGTACTTTCTTGTGGATTGTTGCAGGCCAACAGAAGTGATGGCTTGTTTTGTGTACCTGTTCTCTGTGCTGATGTTATTAGATGGTATGGTGCATTCTGCTGAGAAAGGATCCATGATGCTGTGCTCGAAAATCAGATAGGAGACTTTCACTTGCCATCACTCGCGTACCTGTTTGGTAGCAGTTTTGTTGCCATCAAATGCACTTGATCCATGACCAACCACACACACTCACACATCTGTGAAGGCATTTCCAAAATTGTTTGTGAAACAGTCTGTGCAGTACTTGATGCATGTAGGGATTAACTGGCCAACAGGCAGGGGAAAGGATTGTGGATTGAATTGAACAGAATAGGTTTTTGAGTGGGCAGTACTGTTCCTGATTGGTATCTGTTGTTGCAGATATGCATTGAATAGTTCGAAACACAAGTGTGTGCTATGATTTGCATCATTTCTAGGTGTTGTTGTTGGAAGGTGATTGTGCCCTCCTCCACAATTGCCAATCTTCACATGCCCTTTAGAATGTTGTTTGCTTTGCAGATGCCCCCAGACAGCTGCTCAAGTGGCTGCCATGGTCTGGGGTCTACCCTTCTTGTGACCCTTTGCACCCTCGTGCACCACATTTTATGGCTGCCTGTTTCATTTCTTCGAAGTTACCATACCAATGACTGATTATTTTTTGTCTGTCTTATTCAAAAGATGGAGGACATGTTGGTTATGGTGCATGATGGTGTCAAGAAGTCAACTGCATTGCTGAGCGACGGCAATCCCCTTGCTGACATTGCTGACGACAGGGACTTTTTCCACGTAAGCAGAGCAGGCAAGGGCTGTGCTTCTGCAACTTTGACAATGTTGCTGCTGACAAGTCAATGACCTGTTGAGAGCGTGTGGAGTCTTGGGAGGCATTCACCAAACGTGACTGAAATGGGCAATAATCTGCACAAGGGCCGATTTAAAAAGCCTCAACGTAATCTGTACTCAGCCAGTTGTGAATTGACCGTAGCATGCTTGATGGACCATGTATGCGGCAAGCATCCACATCATTCTCCACTGTTGCTCACTTTTTCCTGTGCATAGTAACATTAGTGTTTTGCCTTGTAAAATCGAAAGACTGGAATATTTTGATGCGTCAGTTTAGCAAAAGCTCAGAGTGCCTGTGATGGTGTCAAGGCAGAACTGACCAACACGGTCTTGATTTCCACCTTCATCCTGGTTGCCTGCAGTTTTCGGGGCTCAAGCTTCTGTTTGCCGAACAACTAGGAAACGGCCACACATGTTAGTCCCTTGGCAACGTGAGCAGACCACTCAGACTGTTTCTACATGTCTGTTGTCTAGCAAGTAACCCGCAGTTTCAACACAGATTTCGACTAGGCCATTCTAGGTGGCACAGTAAGTGACAAACATTGGACTGATACTGAAGTAGTTTTGCCCCAGAGTGCTATATCACAGCCAAAGTCCAGGCAATGGCACTGTCTCAACTGCACAGATGTGGGGCTTGCGCCACCTCACAAGCAAATGATGCAGGGGCTGAAACAATGTATGGAAATGGTTGCTCAACACTAAAGAAAGTAAATGTTGTAAGGGGCAGGGTGGTGGGGATGTGCCTTTGGGGGGAGGGGGGGGGGGAGCAGATCCAGAATCATTACCCATCGTAGCGGTTTGTTCATTCTTATGATCTGAAAGGTGAACTTAGATTTATATGTGCACATCACCTGCAGCAAATCCTATGTGTCCCACACAGAATCTACATAAGCAATCCCAAGTCTGCTGTCTCTTGGATTGTGTCTCTTTTTTCGCCCCATTGTGTGGATGTCATTTGGAGTCTTTCTTGCACTAGCAGTGGTCACCTTTGAGATTTGACAATCTTGCTTTTGCTTTAGAGGGGCAGCAGACTGACTGATTTCCCTCTGTGTTCAGAGCAAGTTGGACATGCTGCACAGACATGCATCAGAGATGCTGCAGGAAATCATGGAGAACCCAAACATCACAAAGGAGAGTGTGGCACAGTGGAAGCCTGAACACAAGATTGCACTGGAGCAGAAGCTCGCATCTGCAGAAAAGGTCAACTGCTTGCCTTTGCTGGGAGCTGAGCTCCACGCCACTGAATGCATTGTGTACGGTTGTGGGCCAGATTGGCAAAAATTTGTGGTGTAGAACAAGTGCAAGTGCATCCACGTGTCAATGACATCAGTCTGCAGGATGGAGATTCGTGTCTTGCCATTTCTATTGACAGCCATTTGTCTTGAAGCCTGTGTGGGTGCACCCACATCATCGCACTGTGTATCTGCAGCTTGAAGGAAGACAATAGTTGGTGTTTGTGGACCATGCCATTGATGTGCAGCCACTGCCATCCTGTGGACAATCTACCTGATCATGTGGTTATTGGTCACCACATTGAGTCAACATCTTATCCAGTACTTAGTAGTGAAGCATGTGTGAAGCGCACAAATGTACATTGAAACTGTTGGACTATGTGAAAGCAGTGTTTGCAGTGATACAAATCCTCCCACAACCATGTTCCTGGAATGTCTCAAAGTGAAGTTGGGGAGTTGGTGACCAATGTGAGCAAAAGCACGGCAGCACTCCTGATTGCAGTGCCATGGCGGTTAGTGTGAAGAGTAGATTCATGGCCGTGCTGTCACAACGATTGCTATGCAGGTGCTTCTGAGATCCTCCTGCTTCACCTTATTGATATTATGAGCCAATGTCAGCAAAGAGGGATGTGAACAGTTCCACACCTGCTTGTTGCAGTGTAAAGCGGTGTAAAGAAATGGCAACACATGTTGGATCCAGATTTGTTGAAGTCCAACTAATTGTGGGTCTTCATTCAGGTGCTGGGTCGCATCAATGAGCACCGGTCAGATGAGGCAGGACGAGGCATAAACGCAACAGAGTACGAAGAACTCCTGCACGTAGGTGCTGTTTCTCACAGTGTGATCACAATGCTGTTGTGTTTGACTTGGATGGCTGGGCCCCCATTTTGTGGACTTTGCTTGTGCTAGTGTTGTCAAGCCAATAGGCATGTCTTTTGGGCTGTGGGGTCTGTCTGACAGTCTGGATTGTCAGACTGTTTGAATGTGATAGAACATTTTCTGGGACAGATGTGTAAGAGCTTTTTGTTGTTTCAGAATTATTGACTGTTCTTTGTGTGTGGCCACAGGCGGTCACAGCTGCTTTCTTGACACCATCCGAGCCAAACAATCCCACTGAAAAAGACACCTCAGAACTTGCAGAGGTTCGTTGTAAGCGGGTGGACCTGGGGCTGGTGTTCCACAACTCAGTCTCATTTGCACCAAAGCAGTGCCACGACCCAAGGCGTATTGCAAGAAAGACAAGAATGAGAAGAAAAGAAAGACAAGATAGACAAGGATGCCAGGGCTATTGTCCTCTGTTGCTTTTGCAGGGGCAAGATTTGTTAAAGGGAACAAGAAAGTGTTATACATAATGCACATCCTCCTAGGCACATGTGTGTGAGACTCTGTGCCATACTGTAAAAAGATGTGGTAGAGTCTCCTGTGAAAGAAGAGGAACATGCAGCCCAAGCAACCCAGGGCGGGCGGGGGGTAGGGCACTGGGGTTTGATTGCAATAGCATTCAGGATTGGCTGATAAAGTCTTGATGTTGTGAGGAAGTGGTCTGGAACAGTATGTGAATGTGAATGAATTAATGTGTCCCCAAAAGCAATTTGAAAATACAATACATTGGTCTTGTCGTGTGTCTATACTGAGCTCGATCGTCTGGGAGTGTCAGGTTTCCAGCAAACTACATATGGGCTCAGAAGGATGGGCAAAATACCCCCCAAACCCCCCTCATCAGAGCACACAAGTAAGCATGTCCACAGGTAGCAAGAACTCCCCAGAAAACTCTAGTGTTTGTTCCTCCACAATCGTACCGAATCCCAACACTCCGCAGAAGTCTCAATCAACTGCGTGGCAGCCCTGGTGAACTGGCCAGTGCCAGAACCCAGAACTCTGGCAAACCATCACAAGTCCCCTATCTGCTGCAGCACCGTGCCCCTCAGCAACACCTCTCACTCCTGAAACTCCCGAACTCCTGATGTGGAGATGGTCTGGAAGGATAATGCGGGCACGACATGAGATATGGAAGGGGTGCTGCTGTGCTGCGTACACCTTCGTTGAAATATGTTGAAAATTGCCGCATGCGAAAATGTCATTTGCCAGTGGGAATGATCTCTGTTTATGCCTATTAACTGACATGACAAGCTTGCTGATTGCCACAGGCACACGATGATCTGGAAGAGACTCAGGACTCGATCACCCGCCTTCAGTCGGCAGTCAAGAATCTGGACGAACTCACTGAGGATAACGAACAAGTTTCGAAGGTATGATAGCTCTGTCTGCTCCATTGGATTGTGTACCAATTTGTAACACGGCAATCTATGGTATTGCTAGGCGGCTTCTGGCAGTCTTTGCCATTGTGTCAATTTCAAGCCGAAAAGTGAAGAATGCGCACAGCACCAAGGTGGTGTTGGGAACTTGTCATCAACTTCTTTTTGTGGTCTTGCAAAGGTCATCTCCAATTGCTGACCCATCGAGTAAGCTTTTTTTGTGTCCATTTGTATGGGGCCTGGAAACAATATCGTAGGGAAGCGTGGTCTCAGTTGTTATCCCAAATCCACTTGCACTCAAAGTCACTGTTGGTTGAAGCCAGCTGCCCTTACGTCCCAGCAGAATTCCTCATACAGGGGTCCCAAAGCGCGAGTTGAATAAGAGTATTGTGTTTTGCAGCAATTGAAGGAGCGACGGGCTCACTGGAATACTGAGTACATCAAAATTCTCCAACGCTCACGGCAGTCTCAAAGGAATGCGCATGTCAACACGCTGGAGAACATGCCAGAGCATTGTATCAAGGAGAACACTGGCATAGAGTACATGGGATTTGCTGGACTGGCGGTAGCTGTGGCCCAACTCGTGTCGATTTATTTTACCCTGTGCCTCCAGTTCCGAATTCCTTTGAAAATGGAGTAGTGGGGGCGCAGCAGTGGCACAGCGTGGCATCCTTGAATGCGGGAGAAGACATGCAGGATGTTGCATTCTTGCAGGAAGCTAGGATTGTCTTGGAATTTGAAGGTTTAGGGTGATTATTGCCGCACTGTTGGTCAATTCGTGACGGCGCGTGCATGGAGTCTGCAGCTTCCAGCGTGAGAGGAGGCGGTCGATTGGGGCGGCTGTGGAGAGACTGAACTGGCCTTTGGGATTGCTATGGCGTTGGGTGGTGCTGTGAATGTTGTGGGGAATGCGATGGTGACAAGGAGGCATGCTAATTACTCTCCCCAGATTGGCTAGTGTTTTGAGTTTGTTCATGTAGCTTATCATAATTCTGACAAGAACAGCAAGTGGCATGTTTAACAGCATTGATGCTGGCAGGCCATCGTGGCCTGGAAGCACATGCAGGGCCATCAAAGAAGTCTGTGCAAGCGAGATGCACACGCCAAGACTGTGGCTGTGCCATGTCATTTTCTTGTTGCAGTGTCCTAGTCCTGAGTCAGTGGATGGTCTGCAGTGCCCTGGCACCATAAAATGGCTTGATTGCACTTCAGTTATGCGGCATTGCTGGGTACTGACCATTGTTTTCTGCAGGCATCACAACTGCGCATCTGCGTACGACTGCAATGGAGGTGCCTGCACCATGGCTATATCAAAAATGCAGATTGTTCAGTGGATCTTGGCACACCCGAATGGCCTGTTAGTCAGTTCCTGATGCATTGGCACATTTTCCCTTGTGCGATTGTGAACAATTTGAAGAATTTGATTGAGAGGGACATCCACGCGTTGCAGACCACGATGGCCCTTGGCAATGTCCAGAACCAAGCCAGTCGGAGGCAGTTCGTTGTACCGTTTGGGCTTGCAGTCTGTCTTGCCTCGAAGCTTGAAGAATGTCGTGGAAAAGCGTGCAAACAAAAGCATTTGTGCCCCTCAATCTCGCCCTTGCTATTTGAGCAAAGGACAGAGAGGCCTTCCATTTGATCACATTTGCCAAACGGAAAACAAATACCGCCCTTGCATCCGCAAGGTTATAGTTCCTTCAGCAGTGATGGGGCTCTCCCTTAGGTGGTGGACTTGCCGCTTGGAGACAATTCGCTTTGACGCGGCTTGCACCACCACCACCACCCCCTCCCCGCGCAAACACACACTATACCCCAGTTTGGAGTCGAACACACTGCATGTGGACATCCTGACTCATTTCTGATCGATGATATAAGGCACCAAGACTTGGAGTCGATGAACTCGGTGCATGTCCACAGCTGTTTGCACATATATCGGTGTGTCGCTAGACATGAAATGGTCGTTGATGACATTCTCTGGGCGAATTATATGGTTCTCCAATGTTGCATACCCGTCTACATGGCCTCCTCCGACCCCATGGTCCGACGTGGCCGGCCGAACGCGATCACGCCCTTTGTTCCGATTTTTCCAAGTAAAACTGTGTGGCAGGTCCTTCTGCGTCTCAGTCTGTGCGCTTGCAGCTTGGTTTAGTAATCCTTTCCCGCTACACGAACTGGTAGGTCGGGGTGTTGCCCCTAGTATACTCTGCGTCTCAATAGTGTACAGCCTCTCCAATTGGAGAGGTTTTTGCAAGAACAGTATACTCCAGGACTTGTGGTGTATCCGGCAGTCACGCGGGTATGCCGTCCTTTGCAAAGATTGTGCGCATTGACGCAGTCTCCTTCTCCTCGTCTTTTCGTAGACAACATGTCCGTCATTCTTACTCGTTGATGGTGGAATTTTGCGGCCGGGCCGCTGAACTCTGGACCACACAAGGCGTCAGCTCGTGCGGTTGTTCTTATCATCCACTGTATTAATGCGACCTGGCATTGGCGACCCTGACAACATCACAACGTGGTGCTGCCGTTGAGGGATTGGCATGGCGTCGGGCGAGGCTACAAGAAATCCTGCGCAACGAGGTTGAGCCTATCATTCCACAAAATGAAAAGGGAAGTCAGGAGGTTACCAGCTGCAAAAGGCGAAAACCCAAGAAGAAATGCAGTGAACATGCTGCAAGCTCGTCCCAGTGGAATAGAACTAGGAAAGAAAGTTTGAGAGGCTTTGATGTTGAACGCCCGAAGGAACCACGATCTCCAGTTGTCTATGCACGGGCGAACCTTCAATGGGCAGCTCCGGACTTGGTCAGAATCAACAGGTTTGTTGGGAGGTCTCCTAGGAGGGCCTGCGGGTCACGAGCCCCGGTGTGAGATAGGGGATAGGGGGGTGAGTCGACACACATCGAATGTGCTTCAGAATCGCGGGGATCGGCGATCAAAATGACCGCATGTCATTCCTGGAGATTGTGCTTTCCCCCTCGGGTCTGCTGCCTCCGGTGGTGTCGGCCTCCTCCCTCCGCCGCAGCACAGACCTCGGCCAGACCCCACTGTACGTCCGGGCTCCGGCCGTCTTGTCCCCTCCTACCCTCTGGCGTTGGCTTTGGATATGAACTACTTCCAGCTCGACTCGGCACCAGGATTGCCGGCGAGGAGCTGTTGTGGATTCCTGGCGCTCTGAGGGGCGACCTGTCGCGCGCCCACCGCGGCTCGATCCTTTCCAGGTGGTGGCGCACCCTTGGGCCATGTCGGGGAGGCAGCTAACGGAGCAGCTGTCCGCCATCTCGACGGTCTCGGAAGACACCTGGTTGCCAGAGGCTGTGGAACGGGACCCAAGTGGCCGCTTTTGGAGGGTGAGGGGCCAACACCGTTTGTCGTGTTATGCTCATACTGTGCTTGGGTTTTGTGAGTCTTGTTTTGCCTATCTTTGAGGCCTCTTGGGCTCAGACGCTGGGCACCAAAGGGGTTCTGCCGATTTGCAGTGCGGAGGAAAGCGGTCCCTGTCCACCTGAACGGTGGTGGGCACTTTCCGGAGAGCAGTGTGCCGCTTTGTGAGCTGCCATTTCCGCGGGCGCCTTCATTTGTGCTGTTGTTCATCGTAGTGCCAATAGCCGTCAGCTTGGGAAAGTACCACCGATTTGCAACAGAGCGGGGCGGCTGGGGCGCTTCCCACAGTTGTGCTGATCGCTGTGGTAGCGACGTGGGGCTCATGCTTGGGTGTTGGAGATGCCTCGACAGGAAACAGCGTGTTTGCCAGTGTGCGACCTGTTCGAGGCGCTCTGGCCAGCAAAATTGTTTGCCATCGAAGTGCTGGTGCAGGTGCGGCGACAGAGAAGGCCGGTAAACTTGATTGCCGGTGGTCGTTTCAATACGGCCTTTGCTGGGCAGTGTCCCCTATGTGCCTTTAGCGACAGCGTTAGTTGCCGGCGGCTGGTGATTTAAGCTTGTCACAATCGGCTGGGCTTCTTGTGCTGTGGCAGTATGATGAGGTCCTTGGAAAGGGTGCCTTCAAGTTCGTGTACAAGGCATTTGACGAGCAAGAGGGCATGGAGGTCGCCTGGAACAAGGTTAACCTGGTGGACACTGCGAGCAGGCACACACAAAGGACCCGCCTATTTGCAGAGATCGAGACGCTGAAACGCCTCAAGCATAAAAACATAATGACCTTCATCGACTCGTGGCTGGATGAGAAAACCGACACAATAAACTTCATCACTGAGCTTTTCGCAGATGGGTCTCTGAGCAAGTGAGTAGGTTTCTTCTCTTGATTGCATTCTTCTCATGTAAGGGCTGTGGCTCTGCTATGTATATCCAAATGCTGGACACACAATCTGTGCCAGGCTGCCGAAGCATCTTGTGCTGTGACTCTCGACCAACTGGGCACCCTTTGCTGTGTAGAGTGTGCTCTTCGCTCTATGCTATACCTGTACGGTACCAGCCATGGTCCAGAGCCATGAGCACCCAATGCAACACAATTGCCAGGGTACAGCTTTGATGCCATCAAGTCGAAGCACTCAGCAAATCTGCGAACTGTCTTGGCAGCATTTTGTGCATTCTCTGGTTGGTCTACCTTGAAGTCCAGTTTGAACAACATGCACAGAACCTGTGACGCAATGTTGATCAATTTTCTGGAGAAACACCTCCCAGACGCGGCTGTTCATTTGACTGCTGACATGCTGTGTTTGAAGTTGTTGTATTTGGGGATTGGTGCACAGCTTGGCGGTTGCTAGTCCGGGACTTGCACTAATGACGTTTTCGAGGTGGAGTGTGTGCCAGTGTAAAAGCTTGGTTGAATAACACAAGACAACTATTGGTGCACAGGTTTCGCCAGAGACATAAGCACTTGGAGCTTAATGTCCTGAAGAAATGGGCAATGCAAATTTTGCAAGGCCTTGTTTATTTGCATGGTCACGACCCTCCAATAATGCATCGGGACCTCAAGTGCGACAACATTTTCATCAATGGTGTTTCTGGTACATTGAAGATAGGAGATCTTGGGTTGGCAACACTGTGGAAGGGCATGACCGCGCCTCTTAGCGTTCTTGGTAAGACTTGGCAACTTTGTTTACATTGAAGTAGGAGCAAGTGATAAGGGGGCTGTTATGCGCACTTGTACTGTCATGTGGGAGGGTTCTTTCTCCTGTCGAATTGTGCATTCTTGGTAAGACTTGGCAACTTTGTTGACATTGAAGTAGGAGCAAGTGATAAGGGGGCTGTTATGCGCACTTGTACTGTCATGTGGGAGGGTTCTTTCTCCTGCCGAAATGTGCATTCTTGGTAAGACTTGGCAACTTTGTTTACATTGAAGTAGGAGCAAGTGATAAGGGGGCTGTTATGCGCACTTGTACAGTCATGTGGGAGGGTTCTTTCTCCTGCCGAATTGTGCAGTCTTGGTAAGACTTGGCAACTTCGTTTACATTGAAGTAGGAGCAAGTGATAAGGGGGCTGTTATGCGCACTTGTACTGTCATGTGGGAGGGTTCTTTCTCCTGCCGAATTGTGCATTCAAACTCAGCTCAGTTCCTGCATGCAACACTCATTTAGTACACTCTCTGCGCTGCCCGCATCCCCTCCTTCACCCTCAAATGTGCGCGGATATGGATACCAAGTGCATTGGGGCAGCAAACACATCCCCTGGTACTTCCCTTGCTAAATTGTCTATTGCAGCCAGTGCATTGTTTTTGTGCACAGTGGGGCTTGATTATTGACTTTTAGGGGCATGGCTGCATTGCAGGCACACCTGAGTTCATGGCACCGGAATTCTATAACGAGAAGTACGATGAAAAAGTTGATGTGTATGCTTTTGGGATGTTGCTGCTGGAGCTCGTCACCATGCAGTATCCCTATAGCGAATGTACAAATGCAGCTCAGATCTACAAGAAGGTCTCTCAGGTGATGATGTGCATGGGCCTGTGCAAATTAGTATCACTTGGCGTTTGCCACGACTCACTTGCTTCTCACTTGCTCATGTTGCCAGGCATTGTGCCGTGGTTGTTGCTAGATGCAGGGACGTTCGCAAGCTCCCCTTGACAGCAACCATGGAACACAGACATCTGACGATGGTGTCCTCATGGCATAGGGTGTCTACCCTGCGGCACTTCAGAAAATAGAAAATGAGGAGCTGCGGGATTTCATAGAGCTGTGCATTTCGTATGACCCGCGTCATCGGCCTGCAGCGCGGCAATTACTGAAGAATGACTTTTTCAAAGGCATCAGGCAGTGTATGGACAAGCGCCAGGCAGAGGATGTAGTGACATCGCCATCGCAGACCAGCGAGTCAGAAGGCGAGGTTGATGGCCTTGAAGCAAGATATCAAGCATTAGTGAAGCCCCCCTGCCCACCACCGTCGGTCTTTTCCTCTAGTGGCTTTCCTCACAATTTTGCTGTCCAGAGGTGTGCATCTCCAGACGAAGAGCATGAAGTGCTGCTACAGCTGAACTTTAACGACAAGGAAGGTATGGAAGGAGGAAAGAATGGGAAGATGTTTGTGCATTTCTGCGTGTTGTCAATATGTGGGAAGGCAGTGAGGCAAGCAGATTACTCAATGTGTTTGGTGGGAAGCTATGGAAAGGCATTAATACCTTGACGCGCAGGTCAACAATGCTAAAATGTGGCTGACTGATCGAGAAAGTAAGGAATTTGCTGTGCAATCCTGTAGCTCAAGCACATTCAAGTGCACCAACGAATGTGTTGGATATTCTTGTCAGGCAAGAGAAGAGCCATCCAATTCCCCTTCAATCTTGATGAGGATACACCTGCAAAGATCGTTCAAGAGATGCTTGAAGAGCACTGCCATTTGAGTTTGAGCATTGGTACAGAAGATGCAGACTACATTGGGACCCTAATTGCACAGCAACTGCCTGACGGTTTCAAGTCCTTTCCTAGATCTGTATCTTGTCCAACTCTGTCTGAAGAAGCTGACCCAGGGCAGAGTGGCACAGCTCAGAGTGGTGAAGCTGCAGGGGATGCTTCGCCTGGGTGGGGCTTGACAGTTATTCCAGAAGATGATGTGCCACAACACCTGGAGAGGAAGTCTTTGGAAGGAAAGAGGTCAGCATCAGCGAGTCAGGAGTTATCAACAAGATTTCAGATTTCCCCTTGAATGCATCCAAGAGGCACTGGCACAATGTCTGGCCAACAACGACAGCAATCAAGCAACCAGAAATCAGGAGGGTGCTATGGCTGTGTATGACCTGCAGTTTTGTGCAACACAGCACCATTTTACATGCTGTGGAAGGCAAGTTGCTAATCGCGCAGCAGCCATAATCTTTCAAAATTGGCTGTCAACGTCCTCTAGCTTTGGCGCGATGGATTGTGCTTTGTGGTGGGTGCGGGGAGCTGTGCCCAAGAGCATCAGTTCCCACAGACCTTACAAAGTCGCCCATGTTGTCCATTTGAATCCAAACGAGTGAAAGTGCATACTGTTGGATAGGCCACACTCATGAGTGGTTTCTGCAGTTTCTTTGCATTCTTGAGGGCATGACTGGCTGGTGCGATGTTGGCCAAGGGGCTGGGATGGAACAGTCCACACGGTGCTTGCACGCAGCACCCCTGGTGGGGTTCCATCATGGGGACACAGGATGTACAGATGCTGCTGGCTTGCATGCTGTACGCCAATGCCTTCCGCGTTGGGATCCCCACTTGCAAGAGAGAATGTGGGTGTTTTGGATGACCAACGAAACTGGGAAGCGTTCTTTGGGAGTTGCAATGTGTTCAGGTCAGTGGTGTGGATATGCGGTTCATCGTTTGGCAACAGGGCATACGTTCCTGCGGGTTGCCAAGGGCTGTGACTCTGGGGATATATCATGGTGGTCGTCATGCTAGGGTTTTGTTCTCGCCATGCATGAAGATTGCGGTCGCCTGTGATTGGGAAATGATCGGAATGTGCACAAGTTGGCAATAGGTGGGTGTGATTCTCTGTGGCAACGACCAGAATTGCCAGAAATTTTTTGGTGACAAGGATAGGGTACGGAACGTTTGGTGGTCTGCAAAGGATGGAAGAGGCATATATCTGGCAGTGTGTGGTGGGAAAGTGCACTGGGAAATCTAAGTCGCAACGGAGACATTGGTGTGGTGTCGCTCCGGGCCAGCTGCTTTCATTGATGTAGCCAGGTGAACAGTAGTGATTATAAGCAGTTTCAGTTGTGGGAATGTTTGGAGCATTTGGTGAGGACGAAGGGTGGAGATGGGATTGATTCTAATTTCTGTGCAGATAAAAAGGAGCATAACTGAGAAGAGTATGTGTGGAACAAACGTTGGATTTAGGTCGCAGGTGAGTTTCAGCAACGCGATTCATATTCTGATGAGAGGCGAGCGTGTTGTGTAGGGAGGACACATCGGCGGCATGTTGCATGGTAGTGTATTAACAACATTTTGAATTTGCATCATTGTGAAATTCGGCATGTTTACGAACGGCACGAATTGCCCGCTTTCGCTGACTGCGCTCTGTGCAGGTGGGAGTTATTGCACCCGGGTCGGTGCCCCAACCAGAGTTGTGTTTTTTTGTGCCATCTGAACGTCACTAGAACTTGTCAGCATCAGATTTGTTCATCCAGAATTTGCCGGGCATTTCGTCAAAATTGGGTCCCACTTATCGAATTTTTGTTAAACAGTTCATTGCTTGGACAAGCACAAGGTATGCAGCGTGATATTTACATGCACTAAGCTCCTATGATGTCTTGCGTTTGCCACACACGATATGCTGGCGTATTGTACCATGAAGCCTGGATATGGCGCCGCATTTGGTACGATGGAAAATGCAATGCACTGTTGGCGACGCCGTATTGTGGCCACCATTTCTCTGTGAGGATCAGTTAAGTCTTATGCCTGTGGTTGGGCAGCATTCCAAAGTTTCAGGATGAAAGAATGAATAAGACGGTATGGTGAAAATTGTCCAAAGCTATTTCGTCGACAAGACTACAGTCGATAGCAAAGTTGTTATCGTTTGGCAGAGTTTGGTTTATGGGTTCTCTTCAACAACACTTGTGTCTGAGACAGCATCAACTTTTTAGAGTTTGTTCAAACCTTAAGAGATGTTAATTTTGGAAGTGGAAGAGCATTTTGCAATTCAAAGTGAAATGCTTTGGTGAGAGTGCCTTGTCCACAAGGAAACTTGCTGGTAAGTTGTGGTTTTGTGCTGCTTGCTTGGGCTTGCAAGGATTTCCTGCACTCGCATATGTGCGGCGTGGACGTCTGGAAATGATCAGGTCATGGATGATCTGTGTAATTAGAACGCGTAGTGTTTGGAAAATGGGTTGGAGTCAAAACACTGTGCTTGTCCCAATGGCACAGTCCCATTGCCTCATTACTGTGTTTGTTGTTTCCATGACGTATTGCAGGTGTTGGCAGTGGGTCCATGTTCTTTGGCCTGTGAATGAAAAGATGTTTTGGTTGTTTTGTATGTTGGTCGCACTTGAATGATGAGGTGGCGTGTGATTGAATTGCTGTATGATGATGATTGTGAGAGCAAGCGAACGGTTAATGTATAATATATGATACATGGTGTGTTTTGATGGTGGGAAGTAAATATGGTGGACATGGTGTTATGGTGAATGTACATGGGGACAATGGAGATGGGAAAGTGAACATTATTGCAGTGATTGATATTTAGTCGATACACTCATCCTGTAATGCATCCGGTTACGGTTTTGCTTCCTGTGCCTGGGAGCGACCGTGCGAGCGTGTGCGAGACCGGTCAACCCGATATGGTTTCGGAGCCGGGGACGGACCCTGGGGGTCCAGGTGGCCGATGGCGACGCGGGAAGCGTCGCCGTCCTGTTTGCCAACCTCCGAGCGCCGCCATTGTTTTGGCGGTGCTCGGAGTGGTGGTGCTGTGGGAGGCCTTGGTGGATGCGAGGTGTAGGATGGAGGCCACAGCGATGGATAGACGTGGGTCGGTTGAAGCGGCTGTGGTTGGGAGGCGGAATGGGGAGTGGAGGTTGAGGGGATCGGCACCCCAGCAACCCGGACATCCCATGGCATGGATGCCTGGCCATGCATCGAACCCGACTACCCTTGGGATGGGGGCCGCGACCCTTCTGTTTCCTGGAGTAGCGGCTCGGCGAATGGCGCAGCGGGGGAGGCCGCGGACTGTGCGGCGGAGGGAACGGCGGGGAGTCAATCGGAAGCACCGGATGGTGCGTGTTGAGCGGCGCATCAGACGGGTGCACCCGAGCGGATTGTTGGCACCCATTGGAACTCCATGGCGAGACCTTGGTTCGACCGACGGGCAGCAAATGAGCGCAGAGATGGGCGCTAGGTCGGAGAGGCATCGGGAATCGGCGGGGCCGGAGCGACGCGGCGTGGCGAC